TGAGACACGTTTGAAAAATGTGATCTACGGTAGTACTGGAATAAAAACCGGACCAAGCGAGAGAAGAATATTGAAAGAGAGATTTATACGAATAAGAGGAAGGAAGTAAGGAAGGAAGGAAGGAAGGAAGGAAGGAAGGTCCAGTTAAAACTTAAACGTTCGGAGAATAAACAAAATGAAATATTGAATACTTATTAATGTCAATTATTTAGATAAAAATCAATAAGATTTAATATAGAATTGTTATATTATATTAAATATAATACGAGATGATATATATAATGTAATATATATTGTAACAAAAGGCTATTGTAATAGCCGAAGAGAAATCGATTTGCATTGGTAAACAGGTACACCTTATTGCAACTTTGATAATAATCGATCGATCTTGCGCGTTACCTCGAATTGCCCCCTAACTCCATGAGCATCGTTCAAGTACGTTGATTAATAGTATTATATATACAAGAAACGATCGATTTAAATTTATCTATCAGAATTATTCTTTAAGATGATAAGCTATTATTGTTTCTTGCAAGCGAAAGTAACACGGGGGAAAATCATGAGTACATATGCTAATCGTTTTTGAAATTCTAAAAAAAAAAAACAAAACTTGTAATTCTTTCCATTTTTATAATATGAACATTGTGTTTAAGTTAAATAAACCTTGAATACTAATACGTAAAACGTGTTACGAGAGTATATTATGAGTATATACCAAAGTTGACTTGTCAGCTAGTTCCGAGAAACATAATCGATAAGTCGGCAACGAGGCGGAAAAGTATCTTAAACGTTTAGAAATGTTTTCGAGTTAGAGGAACCATAAGGATTTAGTTTCCGCGTCACAAGTTTCCTTTACTTTCCTTTTTGGAAAATTCGTGAGAATGGGTGGTGGTGGTGGTGGTGGTGGTCGCGTTAATGGAACGACGTCGCGCTTTTTGGGGTATCTCGCTATCGCGATACGAATAACTATCGAACTTTAAAAGTATCTTGCAGAAAGGGTAAAGAGAGAGAGAGAGAGAGAGAGAG